TTCAATCATTCTATCAATAATATATCGTATTATTCTCCCAAAAAATATCAAAAACAATATTTAAACAATATAGAAATACTACAATCAATGAAGCAGGATTGAGGATTAGAGCTACAAAAATTACAACACAATAGATGTTGCTACCAAAAAAAATATCAAAACATAGATATCATTCTTGTTATATTTATCACATGTGAGAAGGCTTAATACTTAAAAGCTAATATGTTTATTTTGCTATAAACGTTAAAAACATTACTTAAAGTCTATTATTTTATTATTATCATGATTTATAGTTGTATTTTCACACTTAAGTTAGGTACTACTGTTATTGTCACATGGATTTACATATTTACTAGTCAACAAAAGGAACAATGCAAGGCAATGCATTTTCCATATATAATAAAATTGGATACAAGGTACTATACTGAAAAAAATGCCTGGTTGGTCTAATATGTTTACTGAATACTGTTTTCTTATCATACTTTTGATTGAAGACAAAAAAAATAACGTGAAACATTTTAATCACAATTAATTGATTTGAAAATTAATTTTTTCCCCCAATATTAAAAAAAAAAACAATCAATATTTGAACTGAAAGCTTAGTACATAAGTATGGTCTGATTAAAATTTTTAATTCCTTCTTAGATATTTGAATACTAAAAAAATTAAATTTTTATTTTTGAAAAAGGGTGCTGAATTGTGTCATCAATTTCCTCAAAATGTACTTGACCCCTTTGTTCTTTATTTTTCTTACTTTCCAACATGGTTATATTATCTGAATCATATGAACATGCATCACAATTGAATGTTTTTTATACAAATATATCATGCTTACAAGGGGTATTTGCCAAAAATACAGGTTGAGAGGTAAACAAATTTCCAGAGCTGTTAGGCGAGGAAAATTTGTTTACCTCGAAACCGGTATTTTTGGCAAATACCCCTTGTAAGCATGATATAATTGTTTAATTCAACCGAATGCACTTTGTATCCATCTCAACGAAAAGTCTAGAGGTCTTCGGATGTCACGTTATTTTTAGACATGGTATTTCCCATTTGCCATGGTATTTGCTAGAAAATACCCCAGCACATGGCTGTAGCACATGTAGTATTCACCGGCAGAGAAAAGAAAATCTCAATATATAGAAAATTTGTAAAAAATACCATTTCTCTCATCCAATCAAAATACAGCATCATTACATAAGGGGGGAATTACACTAATTATTTAACAGTTTTTACATTTGTTATATTTTGCAATAAATTTTAGCTCAAACTTGTTTATCGTTACCTTTTTTTTACTAGACTAGTATATATAATAATTACCAAACAGAATTACAGGAAATTCATAGAAAAGCAATTTTATTTTTGTCTGGACTCTTATGATTAAAATTAGCCTGTATTCACTCAAACATAAGGATGTGTCCAAGCAAACAGAAGTGTCGAAAAAGAGAAAATAATTTGGAAAACAAAAGTTAATTAACAATAAATAAAAATGACTTTATGAGAATTAAAAGTCATTATCATCTAAAAACAAGGAATTATTTGAATCTGGAATAATTTTGAATTCTGGAAAAATGATGAGAAATATATGATGAAAACTAACCCAACTAAATAGGGTTAGCCATGCGTGCATGGCTAAGGGGGGTTAGTTAGTTCATACTGAAATGATAGTGAAAGTAAAATTAACCTTAGCCATGAACACATGGCTAACCCTATTTAGTTGGGTTAGTTTTCATCATACATTTCTAATCAATTTTCCAGAATTCAAAATTATTCCAGATTCAAATAATTCCTTGTTTAAAACAAACAACAGCTGTTATACAGCTTTTAGAAGATGACACCATTATTCAAAGATATAAACAAAAATGACAAAATAAAAAAACAAAAATAGTAAAAATAAAATGCTTCGCTGGGGCGCAGCTTGATACGACCGCAGAGGTCGAACCCTGAACAGTTGGGGCAAGTATGGACACAACATTCAAGCTTGATACAGCTCTGAATTTGGATTGTTATTAAATATTTGACACAGCATAGGTTTCTGACACAGAAAGAATGTGGTCTAAGAACTTGAATTTTTTTAATTTACCTATTATGGTCCAATGTCCAAAATCAAAATACATGGTTAGATTCAGCATATCAAAGAACCCCATATATTCAATTTTTGTTAAAATCAAACAAAGTTTAATTTTGGACCCCAACTTGGACAAACTTGAAAACTGGGCCCATAATCAAAAATCTAAACACATGTTTAGATTCAGCATATCAAAGAACCCCAAGAATTCAATTTTTGCTAAAATCAAACTAAGTTTAATTTTGGACCCTTTGGACCTTAATGTAGACCAATTTAAAAAACGGGACTTAAAATTAAAAATCTAAATACACGGTTAGGTTTGGAATATCAAAGAACCCCAATAATTCAATTTTTGATGAAATCAAACAAAGTTTAATTTTGGACCCTTTTGACCTCAATATGAACCAATTTGATAGCGGGGCCCACAAATAAAAAATCTAAATTCATGGTTAGATTCAGCATATCAAAGAACCCCATATATTCAATTTTTGTTGAAATCAAACAAAGTTTAATTTTGGACCCCAACTTGGACAAACTTGAAAACTGGGCCCATAATCAAAAATCTAAATACATGTTTAGATTCAGCATATCGAAGAACCCCAAGAATTCAATTTTTGTTAAAATCAAACTAAGTTTAATTTTGGACCCTTTGGACCTCAATGAAGACCAATTTAAAAAACGGGACCAAAATTAAAAATCTAAAAACACGGTTAGATTTGGCATATCAAAGAACCCCAATAATTCAATTTTCGATGAAATCAAACAAAGTTTAATTTTGGACCCTTTTGACCTCAATATGAACCAATTTGATAGCGGGGCCTACAAATAAAAAATCTAAATACATGGTTAGATTCAGCATATCAAAGAACCTCATATATTCAATTTTTGTTGAAATCAAACAAAGTTTAATTTTGGACCCCAATTTGGACCAACTTGAAAACTGGGCCCATAATTAAAAATCTAAATACATGTTTAGATTCAGCATATCAAAGAACCCCATATATTCAATTTTTGTTGAAATCAAACAAAGTTTAAATACTGGACCCTATCTTGGACCAACTTGAAAACTGGGCCCATAATCAAAAATCTAAACACATGTTTAGATTCAGCAAATCAAAGAACCCCAAGAATTCAATTTTTGTCAAAATCAAACTAAGTTTAATTTTGGACCCTTTGGACCTCAATGTAGACCAATTTAAAAAACAGGACCCAAAATTAAAAACCTAAATACACGGTTAGATTTGGCATATCAAAGAACCCAAATAATTCAAATTTTGATGAAATCAAAGGAAGTTTAATTTTGGACCCTTTTGACCTCAATATGAACCAATTTGATAGCGGGGTCCACAAATAAAAAATCTAAATACATGGTTAGATTCAGCATATCAAAGAACCCCATATATTCAATTTTTGTTGAAATCAAACAAAGTTTAATTTTGGACCCCAATTTGGACCAACTTGAAAACTGGGCCAAAAATCAAAAATCTAAATACATGTTTAGATTCAGCATATCAAAGAACCTCATATATTCAATTTTTGCTAAAATCAAACAAAGTTTAATTTTGGACCCTTTGGACATTAATGTAGACCAATTTGAAAACTGGACCCAAAATTAAAAATCTAAATACACTGTTAGATTCGGCATAACAAATAAATAAATGTGATCAAAGATTTTACAAATCTAATGCGCCATACTGTGCAATTAAAGATTACTTCTTGAAATTTTTCAATATTTGAAATTTGAAAAAAAAATAATATTTGAAGAATAATTCTTTTTAATTTCTGAAATCTGAAATGAGAAAAAATTGGCCCCCCACAATTTCTTTTTATCCCCCCCCCCCCTTTTCCCCCAAAAAAAATTCTTTCCCTCAAGATATGGTCATAATCTCAATTCAAATTTCCAATGGAGTTGGCAACCATAATTACCCATTTAAATTTACCATAGTGCTAACTTAATCTATTTTATAATAGAATTAATAAAAATATAGTGTCAAATCTTTCATATGGATTTTTTTGTAAAAAAAAAAGATGAAAACATTTGCAGATATTTTTACTGGTCTTCCTTTATAAATATGCATTTCTTTAAACATAATTTAAAAGCAGTGTAAGGGAAGTAACCAAAACGTTGTATTTGGATTACCTCCCTTACACTGTTTTAGATTATCTTTATTGTTCATTAACCATTACTTTATACATAATTTAAAAGCAGTGTAAGGGAGATAATTTCAATGATGTATTTGATTTATCTCCCTTACACTGCTTTAAATTATGTTTTGTACTAAAGTATTTGTCCATTAACCAGGACAACCTTGTTTTTCCCCCTTTTTTGCCCCTAATTCCTAAACGGTTTGAGCCATAACCCCCCAAAGCAAATCCTAACCATCCCTTTGTGGTATGGAAACTTGTAGTATAATTTCAGAGAGATCCATACACCGTTCCACAGTTATTGTCTGGAAACTAGAAAATGCTCATTTTTTGGCCCCTTTTTGGCCCCTAATTCCTTAACTGTTGGTACCATAACCCCCAAAATCAATCCCAACCTTCCTTTTGTGGTATTTAACCTTATGGTCAAATTTCAAAAAGATCCATTCACTTAAACTAAAGTTAGAGTGCGAAAACCAATATGTATTCGGACGACGACGACGCCAACGTCATACCAATATACGACCACAAAATTTTTTTGCGGTCGTATAATAAAAATAGAAGTAACAAAACAAAAGCTTTAACATTCTCTGTTTAGTGTATATATATATATATATATATATTTAAATCTATTTAATAATATAAAGGATATAGATTATAAACAACTATTTTGCTAATGTATAAATCATAAACAAGGTTTAATATTCAATACAAGTTTCAGGAATTTGATGAAAGTATTATCCTGTCTTTGTAAGACAAGTGGATAGACAGACACAAGGATAGACAAAGATAATACATCTGGTTTATGAAAGACATATAAAAACAATAACAGTATTTTCACTTGCCAAACAAAAATCATTAATACAATAACATTCCCAATCGATTTCAAATAATATCCCAAACAACTATCTACCAGCTAACCCTAACCAATATGAAAGTTATCAAATATATGATAATATCATAATTTGATAGATAATTGCAAGTTTATACAAAAAATCATCTCTTTGCAATGAACAAAGTGTCAATAAACAAACATCAATACACAATAAAAAACAAAAAGAAAGATTAATAAATTATTCAATCTATATTATTACTTGATTTAATTCAAGTGACTGAGCAGGGTTTAACTATTTCCCTAATCATAGACAAGTTCATCTATAGACCCGTCTTTTGGGGTACAATTTGCAAAAGGTATTTCAACCTTATTGATTTCCTTTCTTAAACAGCTCAATGAATTTTCTTTAAAGATTTTCCTTGAAAATTTTACTAAATGCATATTAAATGTAACAAAAGGTTTAGGTAACATTAATGCAAATAGATCACACACCAAATTAGACAGAATAACTTTCATTCCATACCATACCTTTATATATTGTCATTTTTTCTTTTTCTTTCCTCTGTATTTAGGTTTTTCTAAAGGGGGATAAGGTGAGTGCGATGGTCACACTCTCCTTTTTTTGGGGTTGTTTTATATATTTACCATCTTATTATCTACTATGATCTATTATCTTTTCTGTATAATTTTTTTCTGTAACGTTTAAAACAAAATTCAACTTAGATTTACATATTTACATGTAAGCCATATTATTTGAAACTAATATTTTTATCACAGATTTTTTTATATATCACAGACATTTGAAAATTATGCAATTGAAATTAAAATAACACATTGTCATCATTGTCACTTTACTCAACATATACACACACCATACACTCAGTTTTTTTGTATTGACTTTTTGTGACATTGAAAGGCGATTAAAAATCAGTAATAATAATTATAAGGCAATCATCCTCATCACACACATCTTCAAATAGACTGTCCTTAAGCAAATTAAAATGTAAGCTCCACCAGATCATTTGAAAGAAAATTCGTAAGGGTTCCGCGGAACCCAGTGTCTCGCCTACTTTTGCTGTTAATCGCAGGCTCAACAAAAATGAGGAAAAAAAATTAAAAAAAATATTCCTCTCTATACTATCTTTTGATTGTAAGTAGCCTCTGTCCAAGTTTGGTAAAAATCCAGGATAATTTATGAATCTAATAAATGTTTTAAAAACTTAAACTGCAGAATGTATGTAATGTTGACTGGAAGAAAAACTAAGTCCATTTATAAGTAAAATACGGAAAAAATGGAACAAAATTTTATCAAAATTTCCTTCTAGATACTAGCTTTTGATCATAAACAAGCTTCTGTCCAAGTGTGGTACAAATCCAGGATAGTTTAAGAAAGTTGTTAAAATTTTAAAAACTTTAACCACAGAGTGAATGTAATATTTCCTGGCAGAAAAACTAAGTCCATTTATAAGTAAAATACGGAAAAAATGGAATTTTTTTTTTACAAAATTTACTTCTGGATACTATCTTATGATCATAAACAAGCTTCTTTCCAAGTAGAAATCCAGGATAGTTTAAGAAAGTTGCTAAAATTTTAAAAACTTTAACCACAGAGTGAATGTAATGTTTCCTGGCAGAAAAACTAAGACCGTTTATAAGTAAAATACGGAAAAAATGGATTTTTTTTTTTTACAAAATTTACTTTTGAATATAATCTTATGATCATAAACAAGCTTCTGTCCAAGTTTGGTAGAAATCCAGGATAGTTTAAGAAAGTTATTAAAATTTCAAAAACTTTAACCACAGAGTGAATATTTGTGGACGCCGCCCACGACGACGCCGACATGTCTCGCTTTTTCGACAAAAGTCGAAGGCTCGACAAAAATTGATAATAATTGTGACTATAATCAATTTCTCAATTATACATACCGGTAGGTTAGAGAATACATTGTCATGTTTTACTAACATTTATAAAGCTCCGAGCAAAGTTGACTATCTTAAATATTTAAAAATACATTTTCAAGAGTTGTTGGGCCAATATAGAACATAGTCACATCTTTATGTGACAATTCTAATTAAATATTGCAATCACCTTGTCTGTCTAACAAATATTTTAGTCACACTATTCACAGAAACTACTACATATTTGGTCAGCAGCTCCACAGTGATTAGGTGTAACGTATGAGCACTTTCAGGTCTACTTCCTATTTGCCAATATCGTATTTCCTGAACTATAAGTCTATGGGGATGATAGGTCGAAGGGCTGATTATTGGACAAAATTGTGAAAAAATCTCTGGATAGGTTGAGGTGATGGATAAGACAAGGGTCCAAATACAATCCAATGATGAGTATTGTTAAGTATAAGCTCAAGAAAGATATGTTTTTTTTGGCAATATGTTGAACCTAACCCTCATATAACAGTTAGCAAAAACAGTTATCATATGGCTAACTGTGGAAGACCCTCATGGGTAGTAAAGGTTGTTAAACATCCCAATAGTAGCAGTTATTGTGGTGAAAGAAAATAAACTCCAATTCCAAAAGGACTAAGAGTACGTAACTGAGAATCAGTGATCTGATTAACCAATATAAGTCAGTCAAGCATAATATGTAGGTTTGAAGGACCTTCTTATGCATTATGCTACTTCTTCCAACAGTGGACTTGCATACATCCTGGAGAATGTTTTTGTAAATTATTTTACAAAAGATATACAGTATTCTGGATAGGCTTGTGTGTCATTGAATATGACATACTCGAGTGGTTTGTTAACATCATCAACACCAGAATCAAAGTTCAACATTGATCCATCACTCCTTTGTGGTAAAACACGCATATTTGGATCTCCTTTACAGTATTTACCAGTTAAAACATTACTCAGGAAAATCTGACTGACACTAGTTGTAGTTCCACCTGGAGAAACCCAGTTTCTTGCGGAGTAAGATGCATCATTTGCAAAGTATACACCATATCCAAACCATGTACCTACAAATAATAATAATAATTAGTAAAAACATATAAATCTGTCAAATTCAAATAAGCAAGCTATAAAAGGTCCTGAAATGACAAATGTAAAACAATTAAAGCGAGAAAACTAAGGACCTGATTTATGTACTAAACAACAAAAGAAAAACAAACATGATAAACAGCAACAAACGACAACCACTGAATTACTGGCTCCCGACTTAGAACAGGCACACACAGAATGTGGTGTATTAAACATGTTTGCAGGCTCCTGCATATATAAAGGTATATGTTTACCCTTTCTGTTTATTTATTAAAGTTTCCAGCCATAAATGCTATAAATGATGGGATAGCAAAAACTGCCTGGCGTGTCAAAAGGGTTTACATTATGTTATCAAGATCTTGAACAAACGTATTCTTTGTTCCTTAGTAGTGCTCTGAAAATTATATTTTAAAATAAATATGGCATTCATATGATGCAAATTATATATTCTGTAAATTCTGAAATTATTTGTGCATATATAGATCATTGCAATTTTTTTTTTAGACAAAAATGTGAGATAAATTATTGCGATTTTGGGAAAAGCTGCATACAGATATATGTATCAGATACATGCATCAGAATGTGATTTCTTATTATTGTGATACTTACTAAGTCACATTATTTTCATTAATAAAAACCTCACAATAATTTCTGAATAAAAAGTACATCATTACTTACCATTTTTACCGCAATAACTTCTATTATAACCATACATTATTATACTTGGTACTGCATCACTCCCAGTTCCATGCCAGAGTTGTTGTTCAACCACAACATTTGAACCTTGGTTCTGATCTTTTATAAGCTTTCTTTTTGCTGCGTACATCTGGTACAAAGAAATATTCTGGATTCTTTCAATCTAAAATTAATTAACAATTCTTTCATATATTAAATCTACTGCAGTTAAATTGAATAATAATTTTATTTCCAGTGAATAATCTTAAATTGTACAAGATTATACAGTCAATTAACCTGAAATAACTATTTTCATCCATTTTTAACTTTAAATGTGTACAGACATTTCTTGCTCCAAATAAATGAAATGGGAATACAGATTAAAGGTTTCAAAGAACCTAAAACTCCCATGTATGGTCAAATTACGCCATTTAGATATTTATTTTAACCTTTTGCAATCAATTTTTTCCCCTGAAACAAATTGTTTATTTTCAAATTTACAGCATTGAGTTGTGTTTTGTGAAATCAATAAATAAGTTTTTCTTCAGTGCCAGGATCACATTTATATATAACAAGAGTGCAAACATAGTTGACCTATTGCTTATAGTATTTGAGAAAAGGACCAAACTACTTAACATTGACCAATGAACCATGAAAATGAGTTCAAGGTCAGATGACACCTACCAAACAGACATGTACACCTTACAATCATTCCATACACAAAATATAGTTGACCTGCTGCTTATAGTATTTAGGAAACAGACCTAATCATGTAATACGGTCAAGGTCAGACGAAACCAGTCTGACTGACATGTAGACCTTGCAAATATCCCTGTTTTCACATAAACCAAATATTAGTATCCTATTTCTCATGATAAGAGAGAAATTCACATGACAAAAAAAACTATCCAGTTTTTTTAGCAATCACTGAATTATGAAAATGAGGTCAAGGACAATGGACATATGACAGACTGAAACTTTGTAGAAAATACAAGGTATGAAGCATCCAGGTCTTCTACCTTCTAAAAAACAAATATATATATACAAATAGTTTACACTGTTCCCACTTGATTAGCATTCCTATGTCTCACCATCTGCCACAGTTTACAAGAATTATTTCTAAAATAACCTCTAGAAAATTTAGTTAAATCTTTACTATTCTCAATCAAAACATTTCAAATTTCTAATTTATATTTTTCTCATTGGCTACTATTTACAGTCAAGCCCACCATCGTAAATGATAAGTCGTAACTATGGAGTGAAATGCTACATTTACTTGCTGAAATCAACAAATGTATGATTAATTCAATAGAGTCGAAAATGAAACAACACCTACCTCAAAATTACCATTTTAATGAGATATTATCTAAATTTTGATCATACAAGTAACAGAATAACCTTAAGCTTGAGAATTTTCATTTTTGTCACGTCATTATAAAAATCAGAAGATGTGGTATGACTGCCAATGAGACAACTCTCCACTAGAGACCAAATGACGTAGAAGTTAACAACTAAAGGTCATCATACAGCCTTCAATAATGAGCAAAACCCATAAGGTATAGTCAGCTATGAAATGCCCGAAATGACAATGTTTTAGACATAACGTAAAAGAGCCAAGAACATTCAAGAAACTTTGCAGAAGATTACATTATTTCAATTTTATAAACATTTTTCAAAGCTCTATTGTATTAATTCTTTTAGTTATGCAATATAATAGGAATAACACTTCATTATTCTTTTTTTCAATTTCAATTTTCAAAGAGCGAATTGGACATAGTGATTGTAGATAGGTTACAGTACATAGGGATTCAAGTTAGGAGTACATTGTATCAGCCATTTATAAGTACATTTTGAATCAGGGCTTATCAAAGATAAATCAAGAATATTATCATGGTGTTGTTTACAATGTGAAAGGAGCACAAGATATTTAAATTTTAATTTACCATCAACTGATGATATTTTATTTTAATTTATTTTGCTATTTAACAATATCAAATAATGTAATAAACTGTTAACACAGAGAAATGTCTCGCCTATTTGTTATTTTGATAATGCAAATGTTGAAATTAAAATAGCAATACTTTAATATGTAAGTTATGCAAATATTCAAAGTCAATGAACCATAACTGAAGGTACAGGGCTGAACAATCTCCATGGAAATGAGATGTGCCAATACTAATACAACTGCATACCAAATACCACTGCAATCTCATAAGTTGTTCCCTTTAAACAAACCAAAACACAAACATTAACTTGTAAGCTATGTAAAATTTCAAAGTCAATGAACCACAATGAGGGTGTGGGGTTACATAATCTCCATGGAAATGAAACTTTCAAATGCCAATACATTTGCATACCAATTATCATTGACTTAACATTACATGTATTGGTTCATCTTAAACTGACCTAATCACAAACTAATACATACAAACTAAGCAAAAGTTTCAAAGTCAATAGACCATGACTGAGGGGGCGGGGCCAAATAATCTCCATGGAAATGAGATATGCAAATGCTTATACAACTGCATACCAAGTATCACTGACCTACCACTAGTGGTTCCCCATAAACTGAGCTAATCACAAACTAATACATGTAAACTAAGCAAAAGTTTCAAAGTCAATAGACCATGACTGATGGGTCGGGGCCACATAATCTCCATGGAAATGAGATATGCCAATGCTTATACAACTGCATACCAAATATCATTGACCTACCACTAGTGGTTCCCCATAAACTGACCTAATCACAAACTAATACATGTAAACTAAGCAAAGTTTCAAAGTCAATAGACCATGACTGAGGGGGCAGGCCAAATAATCTCCATAGTAATGAGATGTGCCAATGCTAATACAACTGCATACCAAATATCATTGACCTACCACTTGTGGTTCACCATAAACTAGATCTAATCACAAACTAATACATTGTTGACGCCACCGCCGCCGGAAACAGCATACCTATGTCTCGCTTTTTGACTCCGTCAAGGCGAGACAAAAACCTATCATTTTGCTATACCCATTTTTTTTATTTTTACTAATATGTACAATTTATAGTATTGCTCCAGGCAACTTAATGTTTGGTCTTTAGTAAATGGCAACTCTGTTCCAACTTTTAGATAGTGACTCTGGCTTTACATCCAGTCATTTCACATAACAATTTACGAAAAAAAAATATGACAGACATGAACCAACAAAACAACCACTGAATAACAGACTCCTGACTTGGGACAGGCACATAAAGAATGTGGTGTGGTTAAACATGTTTGTGAGCACTCAACCCTCCCCTAACCTAGAACAGTAGTGTAACAGCACAACATAAGAACAAACTGTTTAAATCAGTTGCAATTGGCTCAACTCAAAAGATCGGTATGAAGCACAAAAACCATAGACACAAAGCACTGATATAACAGTACTTGCAGTTACTGAAAACTAGTTCAAAGCCAATTACAAATAATCAATAAATCATGTTCTCCTAGACTAAAGTATCAGTCTATGAAACACACAAACTTGTGTAATGCCCAAAATATAAGTAAATAGTATCGACAGGATGTAGGATCATGAGTTATAATAACTGTATATGCAATCATAGGTTTGAACGTTGTTTTCAATTTAGACTTGTTTATATTTTTTCGTTTGGGCTTGTATTATATCTGCCTTCGGGTTTATATGATCCGTTCATCCTATTTTGACTCTTTCAAAATTCAAGAGTCTATCCTAAATTGAGGTAAATTATATGGCCTTCCAAATACCGTTTCAATTCCTAACATCACTGAAGAGACATTAATTGTTGAAATCCGGATATGGTGTACAAATTTTTGCACCTCATGTTTGCGGTATACCATCTTTTCCGCAAGTTTATTGTTTTCTGTTTGGTAATAATTTAATAATAAGATCTGTTTTGTTACATCTTGTGATCCGTTTATTTGGCAATTGCCAATGGCAGTCAGCAAGGTTTAAGAACATCAGTTGTTCGACCTGCTAGTCAAATGCGTTTTGTTAAAATATACTTTTTCACTCATTTGGTCTTTTGGAAAATGTTGTTTGTGCTGTATTTAGACCCCTCTACCAAGAAATTTGTTTTGCATGCACACGTATAAAAATTGCGGTTTTTATCCAACGCAATCATAGGTTTGATCGTTGTTGTCAATTTAGACTTGTTTATATATAGCATATATAATTTGGGTACAATGCAAACTGCACACAGTCTCAAAATATCTTATTAAATATTTTAGTTCCATTAAGCAAGATAACAAACACATACTGTAAATTCAGAAATTATTGCGATGTCTTTATTAATGCGAATAATGCGACTAGGTGAGTATCGCAATAATAAGAACTAGCATTTTGATAACGAAAACATAGATCTATATGTAGATTTTTCTGAAAACGCAATATTCAAAATCGCATTCTTGTCCATTTTTGAAAAATCGCAATAATAAATGCACGCAATAATTTCTGAATTTACAGTATTCATTCTTTTTTCAGCAAATAACAGTCTTGGCAGAATAATAGATAGATAGATAGATAGTTTATTAACGTCTCACCATTAATATACACAATAAAATATATACATATATCATAAAAACATAAATAGATATTAATGCCATTCTTAAAAGAATTATGAGAGACAAATATCAACAATTATTCTAATTTCTATGACATACACATTTTATTCAATATTCTTCTTCAAGTTTGCTTCCATAACATCTTGGCTTACATCTAGAAACTGATAAGAAGGGCCGGTTGAGAACAAAACTTTACTACAAAAGATATGATTTCAGCTTCCACATTGCAGGGTGTGAACTTTCCATTTCTATGTAGCAATATTCCAGCAGCTCCTGCATATGGAGTACATGTCTCCCAGTTGATACAATATTCGAGAGCTTGCATTGCCTATCATGATTTCCTTGATAGAGGGTTGCTGTTTACAAGGAAGCTATCAAACCAAGAGTTCAAAGTGATGAAGTTGAAATCATCCATCTGCTGAATTTGCTTACCCTTTTTGAGTACCTGAGATCACCCACAGTTTTGGTGGGGTTTGTATTGCTCAGTTTTTAGTTTTTAGTTTTCTATGTTGTGTTTTGTGTTCTTTTGTTTTTCTATTGGCATTGTCAGTTTAGTTTCGCCTTATAAGTTTGAATGTCTCTTTAGCATACCTGTCAACATTGCAAAATACACATGGGGGTTTTGTGTGCAAGATAGTTCTTATAGTCATACAAAACCTTCAAGGGGGCCTTCAAATGTATTTTAATGATGTTTTTTTTTTTTTTTTTGCTTCTTCATTCTTTTACAATCCTATAGCCACATGATATAATTGGTTGTTTTGTTTAAAATTATGGACAAAATTGCTCTTTCAAAATTTCCATTTGGAAGCTTTCATGGGGGAAATCCCCCGCAAATAGTGACAGTTGGCAGGTATGCTTTAGTATCTTTCCACTCTCTCCTACTTTCACTTTCTATTTACACTCACCATGGTAAAATTGTGACTTAATTTAATGTATCACTTACAGATTTTGTACTTTAGCGATTTTCTCTACTGTTTTTATCCTGATCACAGTGCCCTAGGCACCTTAATATGTTGACCTAATTAAACCACTGCAGCAATCCCTAAAGTGTTGTTGTTTTAACTAATGAAATAGCCAAAATCAGCCCTTTTGTCAAGGTGAGCTTAAAATGAACTTAGCAAAACTACTGTGAATTGAAAACTAAAAAGACAGAGCAAATGGCAAAAATATATCTATCAAAAGAAATTCTTCATAGAGAGGGAAGGTTTTAGGTTAGTATGAAGGACAATATCATGGTCAAGGCAAGGAAATAAATTTAATGACATATAAACTTACTTTTGTAACTTTGAAAGTTGAAGCATTAAACTGAGATTTGTAATGTCCATTTAATACAGATGTCTTAAACATTTTTTCCACATCCATGAATTCTTGTGAGTAGTTCAACAGTGTTATAACCTTCAAATTCTGATCATTATTATCATCCCATTTGGAAGGAAGATTAAATGTTTCTGCATCTGATTCAAGAAAATTAAAAAATATGCAATATAGAATTAGTCCAAATTAAAAAAAGAAAATTTGGTTGTAAATCAGACTGTAAATAAAGTTAAAGGTTTTATTAGTGGATCAGTAATAGTTATCCCATGAGGACGCGGTGTGTCAGTGTAAGATCCCCCCCCTCCCCCCCCCCGATGGCCGCAGGCCAGAGGGTGATCTTACACTGACACACCAAGTCCGAGTGGGATAACTATTTTACATCCCAGCTCTTCTAGACTATATGAAAAAACATATACGCTTCATAACATCTAGTTCAGAATGCCATACAATAATTATAATATACTTTATATATAACTATATAGTATATATCCTTTATGAGCACCGGATACAATGTTTAAATATGTTAAATTAACAGCGACTCTGTATCCAGTCGTCCTGGTGTAGGGGTATGAATCGTGGCTTCATATGCTTGAGGTCTTGAGTTCAATTCCCCGCATAGACACTGAAAATTTAGAGGATTTTTTCTACATAAATTTTGAAAGTTAGTCTTTATTCCGCTTAAATATTACTAAGTTTTATTGTGTGTTCGACATTCCCGCCAAAATGTTACAGAATAAAAGAAAGCATGCAGAACAAAGAATCTCAAGGTAGGGTGATCTGGTAGGGATGATCCAACTCTGATCACCCCTGTAGAACAAAGGAGTTGGGATGTAATTTTGGAGTGAATTGATTTCAAATTACAATCCTTTTAAATATTGCATTTGAGCAATGTTCAAAATTAATTTTCAATATAAATTCAAGCAAAACCATACTTTTTTGCTCATGCAGTGACCTATAGTAGCTAACTTATACCAGAGAGTTGTCTCGTGTCAATCATACCACATCTTCTTACTTTTATTTTTACTCAATCTTGAAACAACTAAAGAGTGAAAAACTTGTGCACTCTATTTCAGGTGGGTCAACCAAATCTTGTGCATATATAGTGAATAAAGGCAAATGACTTTAAAATTCTATTAACTACACTGAATCAGTGTTTTCATGAATTATTGAATATTTTTATATTTAAGAGGGACCAATATCCAGCTGTTGTAATGTGTTATTTTATTTTCTCTAACTCTTTGGAAATTTAACCCTTTCTGGACCCTTTTTCTAAAAAATATTAATCAACATCTGGTTGCCGATGATCTCGGTATGATCCAAGACTGGTTAAGTTAAAAGGTTACAACTTTTATCAGCTCTCTTGATGAATAGCAATTGTGCTAACAGGTGAGAAATTGATAACTTTATAAAAACTTTTACTACATGGAAAAAGTTTGACCTAGGCTTCAAATATTGTTGTTCAAAATGTTTACTAAAAATTAACATATGAATATATATTTCATTAAAAGCAATGTTTTTGGTTAAAAGTGTTCTTTTATTAATGCTTGCATCCATTTGATCCAGAGATGCATAAGTTGAAATATATAGCAAATTTCTGGATAAAAAAGTATTTGGTTACAATCAAAAGCAGACTTTTAGGTTATTTGTCTACGACTTGTCTAAATAAGGGGAGTTTATAGCTTGACAAAGTTGCATATGTACTTAAATTGTCCATTAGTGAAGATCATATGTTAATTTATCCCTTTATTCACTTTGTTGTTGTTCTCTGGTAGCTGTCTCATAACCTATGTCTCACAACATCTTTTATTCATATACCTTGAACAAGTGTTATTGTAAAAACATCTTTATATACAGCATGGCAGCACCCCTTATTAGAATAAATACCTTTTAATTTTTCTCTTCTGATAACTTCTACTGTGTCAGTTGGATCATTAACTGGATATTCCTTCATAGTATTCAAATCAATAATATATTTAATACCAGAAGCTTCTTGGAAGTCAACATCCGATCGTCCAGAAATACCACGATGTGCATTTTCAAGATGCATATTTATCAAACGAGGATATTCACGAAGAAGTTGTTTTCCTGATTGGTCTATTTCCTACAAAGGAATTCAACTAAATATTACTCCAATCATCATCTACAACTTTTTCATTCAATGAGTCACAATTGACCTATTTTGACTTTCAGGGAGATAATTTCAGTCATGGAATTAAATATACTAGATGTAAAATAAAACACAGGTCACAAAATTATGAAAAGTAGTTTATGACCTACTACAGTATTAGATGAAAAGTAATCAGACTTGGATAGAGGTATCTTCGTGCAAAGTTATATTGCCATATTATTTTTTTATTTGTTTCTTGTATTGGTGTGTTGTTGTTTCATTAACATAAACCAAACAACTACTTTCATTTATTTGAATATGCCTACAGGCTATCATAAAAATTTAACACATAAAAAACAACAGTCCACATGCTGAACTTATTATGGTGAAGAATAATATTGAATTTTATATATAGTTGTTTAAAATACCAAGGACTTAAGACAGGTATATCAGAACCTTGACATCATTTATGATTCATGAAAATGATATAGGCTTATATAAGATAATCCCTGCCAGAATGACATGTTCACCTTTAATCAATTCATCATGTACACCAAAAAAGAGTTGACCTGTTCCTGATAGTATCTGAGAAGTTGACCTAATCACAAAAATTCAAACTTACCGAATAAACAATGAAAATGAAAATGAAGACAATGTTAAAGGAACCCTGCCAGACTCAAATGAAAACCTTACAATCATGCCATGTGCAAAACAGAGTTGAGTTATTGGTTTAAGTATTTGAGAAACAGACTTTATCTCAAAAATGTAATATTGATCACTGATCCATGAAAAGAGGTTAAGGTCACGTGAACCCTTAAAAAAAAATCAATAGTGATCTTCCTCTAATTATATGTGACCAATGTCCAAGTAAGGTTACAATCTTATATAAGGTATTTGAGTTTGCATCTGGAAACAAAAATAAATAACAGACTGGATAAAAACTATATACCACCTGCTGCTTTGTAATCACAGTTTTGTTGGGGGTTAGGAGTATGTCCAATTACTCAGCATGAATTCTACAAGCTAATCATCCGCAATTTTTATACTGTAAGACATACTATATCTATATTACAGCAATCACAGTTGTTAAAGTCTTATTTGACTTTGTGAGTCTTTTTCATATGTAAATGTTTATCTTTGAAAGATGTTTTATTTCCAGCCCAAAAGATTTGTTTGTTAGCCACGATAAAGCCTCTGGCCTTTAATATAAAAAATAATGGACCCTCAATCACACATCCAGGATGTGAAAGATGTGGGTCATTATTTGAATAAGCTGTTAGGCTTTGAGGGTTTCATTCCCTTCCATATCCCACCCATATTTATATTCACAAATCGTATACATTTACTACATTAAATTTCTTTTAAAAAATGTCTGGAGATTGATGTATTGGCTTATATATCACCCTACCAATAACCATGAAACTTTTATTTCTTTAAATAGCAAAACCATGTAGCTACTTTGTCTATAAACATTCTCATTAAACCCTCAAGCCTAATGACTTATTCAGATATTGACACACATCCATTACATCCTTGCCGTTTGGATGAGTGTCCACTATATTAAATTTTGCAAAATTATGATATCAGAATTACAGATTTCTGTTCACAAATATATTTAAAAATAAATGTGGATAGTGTATGTCCACATGTGGACACGGATGATGCCCCCGCTTGCATATCATATAGTTATAAAGGGACATAACTGAAGAACGGTAAAAGTGACGCTACCCAAATTTGAACTTGATCTGAGTTTTGTGGTAATAAGCATTGTGTGTAAGTCTCATAACATTTGGTTGAGTCTAACTTAAGTAGAGAACAGAAACTAAAAATTCAGCAATTTTTTTATTTGTAAACACGCATAACTCTAGAACGGTTGTGTATAAGTTTTATAACATTTGGTTGAGACAAACTAAAGTTAGAGAACGGAAACGAAAAAAATTTTATGTTTATAAAGGGACATAACTCAAGAATGGTAAAAGTGTAGCCACCAAATTTTGTACTTAATCTGTATTATGTAGTAATAAGCATTGTGTATAAGTTTCATAACATTTGTTTGAGGCAAACTAAACTTAGAAAACGGAAACAAAAAATTTGTACTTGATCTTAGTTTTGTGGTAATGAATATTGTGTATAGGTTTCATAATGTTTGGTTGGGGTAAACTTAAGTTACAGAATGGAAACTAAAAATTTTGCAATCTTTCGATTTATAAAGGGGCATAACTCAATAATGATTAAAGTGACACTATCCAAATTCAACTTGATCTGTGTTTTATCAGTGCAAGTCAAAATTAAACATTGCATTGTATAAAGTATTGATTGTAGTTGATTCAACTATAATCATGGACAAAGGAAGATAACTCCAATTTTAAAAATTACTAGATATTTAGAAGAAAATAAAAATTTTGCAATTTTTCCATTTATAAAGGGGCATAACTCTAGAACGGTTAAATTGACACCACCAAAATTCAAACTTGATCTGTGTTTTGTGGTAATAAGCATTCTGTATAAGTTTCATAACATTTGGTTGAGGCAAACTTAAGTTAGAGAACGGAAACTAAACATTTTGCAAATTTACCACTTATAAAGTGGCATAACTCTAGAAAGGTTAAAATGACGCCACCAAAATTCAAACTTGATCTGTGTTTTGTAGTAATAAGCATTGTGTATAAGTTTCATAGCATTAGGTTGAGGCAAACTCAAGTTAGAGAACGAAAACCAATTTTGGGACGTACAGACGGACAAGGGTAAAACTTAATGCCCCCACCGCTACAGCAGGGGCATAACAATCTTGTTTTTACTTACTTTGAAAAACCATTGAACTTGGTCATTCATGATTTTTGCTTCCACTTCACAATGTCGTCTATGTCTAAATTTGCTAAGCCAACGATGGATTTTATTTAAAGCATCTATTATGTGAGCCTTTAGCCCCTCTAAAACTATCTGGCTTGCTTGTTTATCTATATATATCTTAATAGGGAGATCTTTCTTTACACTATGGATTGCTGCTTGCTACAAAAGATATAAACAACAAATATTTGTACTAGGGATGGCAACAATTATGTATACTCAAGTGCAAATTTCATACTCAGATCCTTGAAAAAACTATTTCTAACATTACACCATGAGAATATTTTCCACCTGAGTTTCCTTCATTTGAAATTTCCTATTTATCATAAGATGAAAATTGTTAAATGGTTAATGTTAACAAATAAAAAATAAGCCCAATAAAACTACAGGAAAATGCCCCTCTTTTTTCAAAGATTGCCAAATGAAAATACTGTTTAATGTAATATGTGTGATGATGCATTAAAATATTGTGATGGTTCATCTTGAACATGTATATCCACAAAATAAATGTGAGGATCGCAGGTATTGCATGACATCTGTTAATTGGCAGTACCAGCTGTGAAATCTGTTCCTTCCTCATCTTTTCTCATCTAATAGTGTAATCACTTAAGGTTTATGAAGTATAGTCATTTCTTACCCTAACCATATCATACCCTAACAAAAACCATTTCGTAACCTGACCATTTTGTACCTCATGGAAGATTTATATGTATGCCATTTTATACCTTATGGAAGATTTATATGTATGCCATTTTATACCTTATGGAAGATTTATATGTATGCCATTTTGTACCTTATGGAAGATTTATATGTATGCCATTTTGTACCTTATGGGAAATTTATATGTATGCCATTTTGTACCTTATGGGAAATTTATATGTATGCCATTTTGTACCTTATGGAAGATTCTTATGTATGCATTTCGTACTCAATAGGAAGATATGTATGCCATTTCTGTTACAACTTAGACATGTGTCGCCTGTCATATTTGTTTCAATGTGCCTACTCCTCATTTTGGCTTGCACTTTTATGGAAAACCATCTTTTGAAAAAGTTATTTATTAGTTGCACGTAATTTCTCAAAATGAAAAATGCCAAGTTCTTTGTTCACATAAGGTTCAAATTCTTATGCAAACATTATAAAATTCATGACTTCCTTCTGAAGTGAATATCAGCTCATGCCATTTTTCACAGCATTTCCTGGCAAACACAACTGTAAATGACTGTAAAAACAGTTGCAGATAACAATTCATTAACCTTATACTTTTAAAGTTGATTCAAAATTAATTAAGAATATACCCTGCAGATTTTAGCGAGAGAAATTTATGTATTACTGAAAAATTATCACCAGGGTTTTCGATATCATAAACTAGTCAAAACATTTACTAAATTTTATCATCGGTATAAGGACATCATTCGTAAATATAACTCAACATGCAGACATCTTATACATTCGGGTATTTCACATCCAATCTTTTATGGTAATATTCTTTACAAAGCACAAAAATGTCAGTATTCACCTCGAAAGCTAACAAAACCTTTAAACAGACTTATTAAGAAGGGATATAGTTACGATACTGTTGTCAGGTCATTAAAGATTGCATATTTTGGCTTTAATATTGATTCACTTATAGGGTCTTTGCATCGGAATTAAACATATTTATTCTAAAACCAGTTGTTGGCATGACATGGGTTATGTTCTTCTCATATATTTTATGATGGTATAATACTAAACCCCTAACAGGAGGGATTGTGCCTGATATTCATATGATGAAGACATAATCTTTCAATCAGTTTAATTTAGGTCTGGAGCTGGCATGTCAGTAACTGCTAGTAGTCTGTTGTTATTTATGTATTATTGTCATTTTGTTTATTTTCTTTTGTTTCCTATTCTGACATCGGACTCGGACTTCTCTTAAACTGAGTTTTACTGTGCGTACTGTTGTGCGTTTGTTTTTTCTACATTAGCTAGAGGTATAGGGGGAGGGTTGAGATCTCAAAAAACATGTTTAACCCCGCCGCATTTTTGCGCCTGTCCCAAGTCAGGAGCCTCTGGCCTTTGTTAGTCTTGTATCATTTTTAATTTTAGTTTCTTGTGTATAATTTGGAGTTTAGTATGACGTCCATTATCACTGAACTAGTATACATATTTGTTTAGGGGCCAGTTGAAGGACGCCTCCGGGTGCCGGAGTTTCTCGCTGCATTGAAGACCCATTGGTGGCCTTCGACTGTTGTCTGCTCTATGGTCGGGTTGTTGTCTCTTTGACACATTCCCCATTTCCATTCTCAATTTTATTCATAATCTTTCATCATATACATATCATTTTATTCCATTACATTTTTTCTCTAGATGATAAATATTCAGCACTGTAACTACCTCATTGTCTGTTAAGCCTTCGATAACAGAATCATGCATTTCTTTCTTTTCATACTCTGATTCTATTGCTTTCATCAACATCTGTTTGACACTATGAGTGTTCCTTTCTCCATAGATTAAAAATTTTACAGTATCAGTACCTACTGGGTCATCATGCATCACAACAAATTTACCAACTGGACCAGCAGCTGAAATAAATTAAAGCATTTTTTGTTGTTGAAAAATTGAAGCAATTAAAATGTTCATGTCATTAAAATAGATGTTTAACTTTATCTTAAAATCTTACATGTGCGGCTTATAATAATCTTTTTCATTTTTTCTGATTTTCATATAGGTCATAGAATAAATTGTCAGAATTCATGCTAAGAGATTTTTTTTTTATTATACTTCACATGCTTTACATTAATTAAGACCTCTATGTTGCATTGGACTAAAATTTACATCAGTTGAAAAAGCAAGAAAGTGATTTTGTGCCAATTAATAATATGTGTTTTTGAGTTAACTTCAACAGGTACATTTGAGAGGCAAACGTTTGGTATTTGACAAATCTAGAGAATGTAATCAAAAAGAAGAGTGCATATGCTGATTTATCGGTCGTCCCTCTGTCTGTATCACTCTGCTAAGCTCTTAATAAAATTACATATCACGGCTTTGTGACGTCAAATACGTTGACCCGGCCTTAATAACTTTGACCTGGACATATCACCGACATCATAATATTTGAACCAACTTTGATAGGTTTGACCCAAACATATCACGTCATCTTCTGGTTTGCTGGTGAAACAAAGAAAACACTTGTTTCTATCATGCAAAATACCCAAATACAACCTGATAAATCGATTATCTGGTTGTATGCATATTCATATTGAAAATGATCAGCAGCTCAACACAATATGAAGCCTTTTTGATCTGGTTCGCTGCACTCACTTGACAAAAAGCTTCATATTGTGACTCACAGCTGATATTTTACGATATCAATATGCAGACAACCTGATAATCGTAACATGTCTTGCTTGCTTTACTGATTTCTGATTGAATATCATATTGCCAATCTTTAAGAATAAGATTTTACTACAAATACCACATAAGCTTACCATTATCAAGATCCATGAAAATAGGGTCAAAATCATATGAAACCTACCAGACAGACATGTACACCTCACAATAATTCCATACAACAAATATAGCTGACTTACTGCATTACAGTATTTGAGAAAAAGGCAATACCACAAAACCCTAATATTGACCAATGAACAGTGAAAATGAGGTCAAGGTCAGATGAACCCTGCCAGACTGATGTGTACTCCTTACAATCATTCCATTCACTAAAGAGAGTTGACCTACATCTGTTTACAGTATGGCACATCTACATGACTAGTAAGACCTACATCTGTTTACAGTATGGCACATCTACATGACTAGTAAATGATGAGTACAATAACAATATGTGACTCTTCCTTTTCTATCCTAGAATTGCTGACATTTTTAAGATAATTTCTACATGTTTACAGATGACAGTGGACAATGGACAGACAACAAAAGTTAAGTAATGATAATAGTTTACTGTCCCTTCCTATCACAACTTAACACAGACATAAAACTTAAAACAATTTAAGTTCAAATCTAAAAATAAAAGTGCTTATTCATATAAATGGATGAATCTTGCAAAAGACAAACTTCAATAGATACCTAAAGATTGATTTTCCATAATAAGAAGCATTGTAAGTTGTGGTCTAGTTAATTTTTAAATGTTTGCACATCATGACTTTGGAATCACATTTTGTTATCTATCATACTGTTATTATAGAATTCAACTGGTGTACCTGTCCTGATTTTTATTGTATATGGTTTTATTTACCTTTTATTTTGATTTTAGATTTTTTCAGATTGAGAACAAAAACTTGTTTAAACCCTGTCACATGTTTATGTTCCTGTTTTTAGTCAGAATCATTGTTAGTGGATGCCTATGTCCGTTTTAAAGTTTTGTTGTTATTTGGAGTATTTGGTGTTGATGGCAGATCTTTGACAGTTTCTGCTATACTAATTCATTGTAGGGGATTAGTCCAATTGACATATTGTATAGACTGTTTATACCATAAACCTCATTTTTTCTAATATTGTTTGAAAAGTTCTTATTGATCTGTATGCATGGAGTGGGGATTTATTATTTGAGTTTGAATGACATATAGGGATATGCAAGACAAGTTGACATTCCAGCACATAAATACATGATAAATGAACAGCATTCCAATGTCGGCCTTTGATGCACTTGTTTTATCAAACTAAGGGTAATAACTCAAATTATTTTTATGTACTTTTAAACTTTTTCATAACTATCCCACAAGAATTTTCCCTCACCTGAAATTCTACCAATAAATGATTAATAGTGTGGTCTTGCATTCAAATGCTGCTAACAGTGTTAATTTGTTTAAGTTGACTACCAAAAAGCAAATGATTGAATGATAAGTGAACAAGAGGCTGTCAGAGTGACAGCAAACCGGATTTTCCTGCAGAGGTCGAACCCTGAACAGTTGATCAAGTATGGACACTACATTTAAGCTAAAAACAGCTTTGAATTTGAATTGTGATTGAATATTTGACACAGCATAGGTTTGTGACACAAAATGAATGTGGTCAAAGAACTGAAATATTTGAAATTGGCATTTACCTATTATGGTCCAATATCCAAAATCTAAGTACATATTAGAATTAGCATATCAAAGAACCCAAAGAATTCAATTTTTGATAAAATCTGACAAAATTTTAATTTAGGACCCCTGGACCTCAATGTGGACCAATTTGATAAAGGAGCCCACAATCCAAAATCTCTCAATACATGGTTAGATTCAGCATTTCAAAGAACCCCATAAATTCAATTTTTGTTGAATCAAACAAATTTTAATTTTGAACCTTGATTTGGACCAACTTGAAAACTGGGCCCAAAAATCTAATATCTAAATACAGGTTTAGATTCAGCATTTGAAAGAACCCTATATATATTTAATTAATGTTGAAATGAAACACAGTTTAATTTATCCATAATATTTTCTGTGCAAAGGGAAATAACTCAAACTGGATAAATAGTTCTCTAAAATAAGATATGATGCAATTTTTCAAATTATAATCAATAATATAACAACAACAACCAGTGATGACTAAGTTCTCTAAAATTAGATATGATTTAACACTCAAACATTGTTAGAATCAGCATATCAAAGAACCAAAGAACTCAATTTTTGATGAAATTAAACAAAAGTTTAATTAAGGACCCATTGGACCTCAGAGTGGTATTATCTTATTAATAATGAAAATAAATACAGGTATAGATTAAGCATTTCAAAGAACCCTATATATATTCAATTTATGTTGAAATCAAACACAGTTTAATTTTGGACCCCGATTTGGACCAACTTGAAAACTGGGCCCAAAATCAGAAATCCAAATATATGTTTATTAATAGACAATATATAAGCTAAGGAGTTCACTTCATCAAAAAAAAAAATATATATATAGCATTCAGAAAATAAGTTTTTACAGAATAACAAACAAATTTACCACAAAATTCTTCAAACAATTTACCAAACAAAAGAAGAAAAAATTCCAAAATTTTATTTATCATTAATACAATGTCTTTTAAAAATCTATAAAACTTATCTGTAACAAGACATAATTGTAACAGGATGCTATTACGAAGTCTCCCAAACAAAGCTCCCATAATTCGTCATTCCATGGTCGCCTGACATTGGGCAAAGTGCATTACAAATTGGTTTGGTCTAGTAAAGTGATATGCATAAGTGACGCCTAGGGATTGACCCTGTATGTCATTCAAATCTTCTTGAAATAAAGAACAGGAACATATATGGTTTAGGGGTGGGGATCTCGACCGTTTACAAGTTTTCAAACAGGAGGGGGATGGGAGTGACCCCAGGGGATTCCCCTTTTATTTCATTTGATTTGTTTTATTGTCCCATACATGAATATATATGGTTTAGGGATGGGGATCTCGACCGTTTACAAGTTCTCAAACAGAAGGTTTAGGGGTGGGGATCTCGACCGTTTACAAGATAAAAGCACATTCTCAAATTTAAGGGGGGGGGGGGGGGGGGGGGTAAGAATATATATGGTTTAGGGAGACTTAATTATCTTCAAAATGTCTAAAAATGACCAGTAAATTTCTTACTATATTTATACAGTCCTATAAAGCTTATAGTCATCAGCACTTAGAAAACAGAGAATTTTCAAATAAATCTGTCACTCCAATTATAATTGTGAGAAAAGACATTTACCATATGCTGTCATAATCTGATAACAGGAGAAAATTATTTAAAAACACTTAGTTTAATCAAACTTCATATATATGATTAACCATTTCTGTACAAAGAGAAATAACTCAATCACATTATAAATACCACTCTTGGATATTAATAAATTGCTTCGCCGAGCGCAGCTGGATACGACCGCAGAGGTCCAACCCTAAACAGTTGGGGCAAAAATGGACACAATATTCACGCTTGATACAGGTCTGAATTTGGATTGTAATTCAATATTTGACACAGAATAACTGTAGTCAAAGAACTTAGAAATGGTTATATGATTTGAATTTATATTCAATTTTTTGCTTTTGTGCAATACACTATGCTGTTGCGAATTTGCCCCCCCCCCCCCCCCCCCCCCCCCCCCCTCCTTTTTTCAAAAAAAATAAATTTGAAGGATTTTCTTTTTGATTTCTGAAATCTTGTGGAGAAAAAATTGTCCCCCCCCCAAATTTTTTTTAACCTCCCCCCCCCCCCCTCTTTTTCCAAAAAAAAATTCTTTCCCTCAATCATGGTCATAATTTCAATTCAAATTTCCAATGGAGTTTGCAACCATAATAACCCATTTAAATACATCATAAAAGTCTTAAAATAGAAAATGACATACATAAAAGCTAAAATTAATTTACCTTAATCAGCATTTTGAAAATTATTAAAATAGTAACTTCTAAAAATGAATTGACAGCTAATCACCTCAAGACAATACAGAAAATTCTTTATACATAATTTAAAAGCAGTGTAAGGGAGGTAATTCAAAGTAGTTTTTGAATTACCTCCCTTACACTGTAATTTGTACTTAACTTATTGTCCATTATTCAGGACACCCTTGTTTTTTCTCACTTTTTTGCCCCTAATTCTTAAACAGTATGAGCCAAAACCCCCAAAGCCAATCCTAACCATCCCTTTGTGGTATGGAAACTTGTGGTATAATTTCAGAGAGATCCATTCACTGTTCCACAAGTTATTGTCATGAAACTAGAAAAATGCTTATTTGGGCCCCTTTTTGGCCCCTAATTCCTAAACCTTACACTGCTTTTAAATTATGTTTTGTAGTTTTAAAGTAATTGTCTATTAACCTGGAAACCCTTGTTTTTCCCCCTTTTTTGCCCCTTATTCCTTAAAGGTTTGAGCCATAACCCCCTTATTATACTAAAATTATTGGCAAATTTCCAATGGAATTTATTAACAATAAATTTTTTTCGGCAAATTTCCAATGAACATAATTTAAAAGCAGTGTAGGTGAGATATTCAAATGAGTTTGAATAACCAACCTAACACTGCTTTTAAAATTATGTTTTGTACTTAAGTAATTGTCCTTAACCTGGAAACCCTTGTTTATCCCCCTTTTTTGTCCCTTATTCCTTAACGGTTTGAGCCATTACCCCCCAAAGCCAATTCTTACCATCCCTTTGTGGTATGGAAACTTGTGGTATAATTTCAGAGAGATCCATACACCATGTTATTGTCTTTTTAAATGGTCCCACATTCCTGTTGAGACCAAACTCTCAGCATATCAAAGAACCCCCATAATTCAATTTTGAATGAAATCAAACAAAGTTTAGTTTTGGACCCTTTGGACCTCAATGTGGATAAATTTAAAAACGAGGCCCAAAATCCAAAAATCTAAATACACGGTTAGATTCAGCATATCAAAGAACCCCATATATTCAATTTTTGTTGAAATCAAACAAAGTGTAATTTTGGACCCTGATTTGGACCAACTTGAAAACTGGGCCCATAATCAAAAATCTAAATACATGTTTAGATTCAGCATATCAAAGAACCCCAAGAATTCAATTTTTGTTAAAATCAAAATAAGTTTAATTTTGGACCCTTTGGACCTTAATGTAGACCAATTTAAAAACGGTACCAAAAATTAAGAATCTAAATACACGGTTAGATTCGGCATATCAAAGAACCCCAATATTTCAATTTTTGATGAAATCAAACCATATCATTATTATTTGCTTTTATATATAAATCAGAAATAACCAACTTAAAATGGAAAATTTTAAAGAAAAAAAAAAAGGAAAAAAAAATCCCCCCCCCAAAATTTTTTGAACCCCCTTATAATTCATCACCCCCAAACTCAATCCCTGCCTTCCCTTTGTGGTATGGTACCTTGCAGTACAATTTCAGAGAGATCCATACACTTGAACACAAGTTATTGTCTGGAAACTAGAAAAATGCGTTTTTTTGGCCCCTTTTTGGCCCCAAATTCCTAAATGTTTAGGGCAATTACCCCCAAACTCAAACCCAGCTTTCCCTTTGTGATATGGAACCTTGTAGTACAATTTCATAAAGATCCATACACTTACACACAAGTTATTGTCCTGAAACTAGAAAAATGCTTGTTTCTTGCCCCTTTTTGGCCCCTAATTCCTAAAATTTTGAGGCAATTACCCCCAAAATCAATCCCAGCCTTCCCTTTGTGGCATGGTACCTTGCAGTACAATTTCAGAGAGATCCATACATTTGAACACAAGTTATTGTCATGAAACTAGAAAAATGCTTATTTTTGGTCCCTTTTAGGCCCCTTATTCCTAAACGTTTTGAGCAATTACCCCCAAACTCAATTCCAGCTTTCCCTTTGTGATATGGAACCTATAGTACAATTTCAGAAAGATCCATACACTTACACACAAGTTATTGTCATGAAACTAGAAAAAATGCTTGTTTTTTGTCCCTTTTTTGGCCCCTAATTCCTAAAATTTTGAAACAATTACCCCCAAAATCAATCCCAGCATTCCCTTTGTAATATGAAACCTTGTGGTACAATGTCAGAGAGATCCATACACCAACACACAAGTTATTGTCTGGAAGTTACAAAAATGCTTATTTTTGGCCCCTTTTTGGCCCCTAATTCCTTAACTGTTAATACCATAACCCCCAAAACCAATCCCAACCTTCCTTTTGTGGTATTGAACCTTATGGTAAAATTTCATAGAGATCCATTCACTTAAACTAAAGTTATTGTGCGAAAACCAATGTGTCTTCGGACGACGACGACGACGCCAACATCATACCAATACACGAGTGCAAAAATTTTTTGCGGTCGTATAAAAAGGGCGATAACTCAACAAGAAAAACTCAAATCGTGAAAATTGAACTTGACCTTCATTTAGTCACAGGAAACAACATATCTAGATTTGTTAAATTTCATCAAAGAGTTTTTATGTTATTGAACGGACACTGTTTGGCAGCTGCCTGCCATACATCACCAAATCAATAACCGATATTTCCTTTGAAAATGCAGTTAAAAACAGAAATATGAATAAAAAAAAAAAATTGGCCCAAGAGCTATCTCTTGATTATGAAGAAGAAGCTTCTGTTCAAGCTTTGTGCAATACAAAAAAGGTTTAACAAAGTTTGATTAATGTCTAAAAACTTTAAACCCAGGCTGTACAGTATCTAAAATTGGTGTAATGGAAACTAGGGCCTCTTTTGCTCACTTAGGTCTATGTGCAGCTTCAATAATGGACACTCAACAACATTGTAGAATAGAAAAGAATTCATCACAAAAATCTCTGTTTTGTTGATCTTGTATTACTGATATTTTTTTCTGCTTACAGTTTTTCTCTATTTGCTTGAAATTCGGCCAAAACATAAAAAAGGTAAAAAAAAAAAATTGAGGAGAACCACTCATATCTATAAAGAGTCGACTGACATTTTCTGCTGTGTTGACTTATTTGTAGTTCTCATCTTGCTGATCATTTATGCATGAAACAATTTCTATCTTTCATTACAGTTTTTAAGATCATAGGCAAAACCTAAACTAAAGGCTCTAAAGAGCCTGTGTCGCTCACCTTAAGCTTGGTATATGTGCATATTCAACAAAGGACACTCTCCAACATTACAGACGAGAATAGAATTCATGACAAAAATCTCTGTTTTGTTGATCTTGTATTGCTGATCATTTAGTCTGTTTAGTTTCTCTCTATCTCCTTTAGTTTTTGCTCAAAACACAAAAGAGGGTAAAAAAAAATCCTCACTTAAGGTTAATCGCTCCTATAAAGAAAGATAGTCTACTAACTATATCAGCAAAATTTGACTTGTTAGTAGATCTTGACTTGCTGATCATTTTTTGTGATTTATAGTGTCTATTTATCTATCATAATTTTATCATATAAGCAAAACGCAAAAAAAATGGTAAAAATCGTCATTAAAGGGCAGTTACTCCAATAAAGAGTCGTCAGACTATTTCCTCTATGTTGTCTTAATTGTAGATCTTGTCTTGCTCATCATTTTTGCTTATCAAAGTTTCTATCTATCTGTTATAATTTTCAAGATATAAGGCAAAAACGCAAAAAATTGGTAAAAATTGATAGAGCACAACATTTTGAACATTTCTGCTGCTTTCTGATATTCTCTATTTGTATAGGTTTTTCAAAATAATAGAAAAAACTTGCATATTACCCCTATGTTCTACTTTTAGCCATCTTGGTTGGCAGGCGGCGTCATCGGACACATTTTTTAAACTAGATACCCCAATGATGATTGTGGCCAAATTTGGCCCAGTAGTTTCAGAGGAGAAGATTTTTGTTAAAGTAAACAGAAGTGATGAGAACAGCTCATTTGGCCTGTGAGCCCTGTGAGCTTAAAAATCGGTGAAAATCATTATTAAGGGGCAATAACTCCAATAAGGATTTGACTGACGATTTGAGTCATTTGACCATGTTAACTTATTTACAGATCTTGTTTTGCTGATCATTTTTGCTTTTTAGAGTTTCTGTCTTTCTATTATAGGTTTCAAGAGTATAGGCTAAAATGAAAACAAAATCGTAAAATTCATCATTTATGGACAATATCTCCTATAAAAAGTCTGATAGTTTTGATTAAATGGACACTAGGTAGATCTCATTATTTTGAACATTTTCATCTTGTCAATTTTCTCTTTCTATAGTGGTTTTTAAGATAATAGATAAAACTAGCATTTTACCCCCATGTTCTATTTTTTTACTATGTCAGCCAAGGATCCGGAAATTTTCCCAAGTCATTTCGGTCATTTTTTTTTGTGATGTAATAATATCGTGATGCACAATAATGCATTTTTCTGAGGGTGACAAGTCTTGCACATGGACAAGTAAAGTCCTTTTTTGTGAAGTATTGCGTCAAACAAGTGTAACTGTACCCTGATCTAACAGTAACAGTGATGTCTCTGAGTTAGAAACTACACGAGGAGACGTTTTGTTGTTGTGTATTGCATCACTGAGGTCGTATGCATAACCCTTTAAATTTGCATAAATTAAAAGAGGAATAATTACGGCATGTTTCATCATTTTGAAATAAAGTTATGTAAACCAATTAATAAACTGTGTTGAGTTTCTTATTGCATGTACAAGATATCGTTTGTATTGTTCAAATTGCTGCTGTTTGGATGAGTGTAAGTGATTACCTAATACACAACAAGATAATGTGTATTCACCTGGTTTACGATAAGAGGATCAAAAAGGGGAAACTATGATTCAACTTTTCTTTGAATAAATAACTCAAGTCTGGTATAGTGATAACAATTGAATTTAATAATAAAATTCATGATTTTAAATAAATAAATAATTTATCTGAACAGAAGTTTGTACACAATTACAACAGTTCAATGAAAAACAATTGCATTGTAATACAGTCCAGAGAGAATGTATGGCTTCACTTGGGTAAAAATCGGAAGTTTAGCCAGGAAAACAAAAGAAAGGATAACGCCCATTAAATTCTGTGAGTAAGATGGTTTCAAAAAATCGGAAGTGCAAAAAAAACAAAAAGAAATCGAGATTGTTCATTCGCTGAGTATATTTCTTAAATAGGCTGTATGGCTTCAAATCTAAATTACGTTATTTAGTTTTAATTCCTTTTTTAAACATTTTTTTTTAATTCTGCATTCCTATAAATTATACGCTTTACCACTTTTGTAAATCTATTAATATCTTTATCTGCCATTTCCTACCGAAAAGTTAACAGTAAAATCGATCTTTCAAATAAGATCATCAATTAACCCATGTTGATCCCCATTTTCCATGCGCAAACTCAGTAAACATAAATCTATATTTAACAAACGTTGACCAAATCAGCTGATCGATTATAAATGGATTATATGTTTTATTTGGATAAAAATGGACAGATTCTCGAGTCAACAGTGTTATTTGACTTCTTTAATGAATAAAATAATATCTTTTTGGGAAAATCTAGGTCAGAATGGTTAAAACGTTAAATTTGATGCACAGCAAATCGCCATATTGTTTTTATTGCTTAACAGGTGTTTACAGGTGAGATTTGTGTACATGGCCTTTATGGCTTTAATCAAGACAATAACGACACCCAAGCCGAATTCAAACTTCCTGGACATTGATTACTATCCTCAAGTGGCAAGTGGTGATAATTACTATGTAAACAAACCTAGTGGCTTGAACCCAGACTTACCCCACGCTGTGACTCGACAGAGTCCTGTACATTGTTTTCACTTACATTATAGAATAAACAACAGACTAATGATAAATATTATTAAATCACTACCACAAATCAATAAAATTTTTATTTTGTCTCAAACAAATCTATTTTTCTTGATGACCTGAAAACAAAAATAAGTTCAAAATGGCGACCGATAAAACCCTGATCTCAATGAAATGACCGAAATTATTTCTGTAAAAAAAAAAAAAAAGACCTAAATCCCAATAAATCATTTCGGTCTTTTCAGTTTCCAAATCGGTCATGTCTGGCATATATGACCGTTTCTGGACCCTTGATGTCAGCCATGTTGATTGGCAAGCGGGGTCATCAGACACATTTTTTACAAACTAGATACCCTAATGATGATTGTGGCCAAGTTTGGTTAAATTTATCCCAGTATTTTCAAAGAAGAAGATTTTTTGTACAAGGGATGAAAATGGATAAGGACAACAACAACAGACAACAGACACCAAGTGATGACTAAGCTAACACAGGTCCTTGAGATATTCCAAAATCTATCTAAATTTATCTGTTAAACTTTTCCAGACATATAATTTCTAGTCTCAGAAACATTAGAATAATCTAACACATACCTGGAACCCTTTGAGATGCTTGGCCTATACCTTGTAACATTGATGTCACCATATCAGGTTGAAATATTACAAGATATACATGTTTTAATGTCTTTAAATCATTGTCTTCCAAGTACTCCTTGAGACCCTCTACTATAGTCTGACCCATCAAGTGAGGGTCTGTAGCATTGCCACCTAAAGAAATATAAAGATAGAGTCATAGCATTGTCTTCCAAGTACTCTCTGAGACCCTCTACTATAGTCTGACCCATCAATTGAGGGTCTGTAGCATTGCCACCTAAAGAAATATAAAGATAGAGTCAAATAATTGTCTTCCAAGTACTCCTTGAGACCTTCTACTATAGTCTGACCCATCAATTGAGGATCTGTAGCATTGCCACCTGATGAAATAAAAACATATACAGTCGAACCTCGTTGTGTCAAAGTCGAAGGGACCGGACCAAGGTATTCGACTCATCCGAGATTCGACTCATCCGAGGTCGAGTGTGTCGTCATAAATTTGGAATGCATGAAATACGGTATGAGATTTGTGTAAACTACCGGTAGATACAATGAACAGTGTGCCTTTTTTCGATATGACACTTTATGATTGTGTATTCAATCTCCATTTTGGTCCTTCGTAATAATTAAACACACAAGTACAGATACAAATCATGCACAAATAAAATCAATAGTCTACACAAATATTTACAAAGGTCAGTCACTATAAATTATGAAATCCCTCGCGGCACGAAATGAGTTCTGAACAGACTCTGATGAGGTTATTATTTATTATAATTGTCCTAATCCTTTTATTTATTGTAATTGTAATTAATGTGTTTAAAATCTAACGTTTCATTTAATCTCGGTTTGGGTCATTTAAATTTGTTTCGTTTTTATCTCAGGTGAAAAATGTTCAACACACTAACATTCCGCTTGAACTATCAAAAAAGGTGTTAATTAGCGGTCTTCATAAACATGTCATTTTAACTGTTATACAAACAAGTATGTTTACTCAGCTTTAATCTCTTTTGAAAATGATTAGGTGACATAAGAAATACATCCGATTTGAATTTTTATCATTAGGCCTGCATCTTTCGAAAATTCTTACTTTTGAACTTCAAGACATCGGGGTCAATTTACATTAATTTTACTTCGATGGGACTATAAAATTTACTTGATTTAACCGAGTATTCGAATCAACCGAGTTCAACTCATCAGAGGTAATTATGCATTGATCAAATGGGAATTTTACCAGGACCGAGAAATTACTTTGACTCATCCGAGTTTTCGACACAACGAGGTTCGACTGTAGTCAAATTATTAAGATGAATAAAAACAGTATACAAATGTCAAAATAACTAATGATACTTAAGTACCCCTTAAATCTTATTGTTACATATTCTTTTTTCTTACCACATTTTTCAGTGCACTGAATGTTTTTTTTTTTATTAATATGCAAAAAAGGTCAGCTAGTAGTTAAACTGACTTCTATAGATGATATTTTTTCAACATTATAACACAATACCACCATTAAGTATTTCTGCTGTTTTCGTAGAACATTAATCTAAATGTGGACTTTGCCTAGCCCATTAATCATTATTATTAAAATAGAATTTCTTGTAGTATCAACATTTTTTTCACTTGTTAAACAGTGTCTTTCCAGAAATACATTACACTTTTACATTTCAATTTCTCTAATTTAAAGTCCACTGTATAACTAGTCTGGTGACACTCTCCTAAACTACTGCTGAAAATCAGAGCTAGGCATCACAGTCTTCGATAAAGACTATATGTTATCACTCATCCTCTTGGCTTTTATTGTAGACTCAGTCACAAACTGAATAAAATCAAAAGGACTATCTGTTTAGCTCCTAAGTAACAGATCAAGTTTACTCATTACACATTTGCTTCCAATAAACAACACATACAAATATCGTTGTGGTATTGCATCTACTCATAGTTAAATATTCCTAGAACAGATGCAAAAATTCTGATTTTCATAAAATTCAGGTTTTTCATATCTTCATTTTTTGTATGATAAGATACTATACTTTTCTGTACATTTCTGTCCTCTCAGTTTTTCCCTATTTATAATGGTTTTCAACAGACATAATACTTGCATTTTACCCCTGTGTTTTATTCCATAATGGTTGACCGGTGGGATCATTGAACATATTTTTCTTAATCTGAATACCACAAGAATTATTGTGGTCATGTTTGATTCTAATTGACCCAGTATGTTCAGAAAACAGGATTTTTGTCAAATTTAAGGGATGAGGACAGACAACTGATGCCAAGTGATGGCAATAGTTCATCCTTGCCCTTTTGGCCAGGTAAGCCAAAAAGTTGATAGATACATATTCACATTTTTGACTAGGATTTCTACATTACCTGTGCCGAGAGCAGGAAGTGACAATGTCTTCAATTTCTTGTCTTCAGCTTTCTTCATTGCTTTTCCAATCATTTTCTTCCATTGTGCAGAAGTAGACTGATAAGTTATATGAAAAATAAAATGTACTGGAAGCCCACAGCCACTTGTTGATGTAATCTTGTGTTTCTTCATATTTTCTCCTTAAAAAAACACATGAGAGAATGAAAATTAAATGTTACCTTCTTTAGGTGTGTATAGTATGCACTTTTTTACCCCCAAAAAGAAGTTGATAGAGGGAGTGCGTATCATACACAAATACAGAAGATTTTTTGATTTTTTTTTTTTTTTTTAATAGCGTTTTTTTCTTCATTATTGTATATGTTCAAGACGTTTTTTATCTTATTTCTTTATTTGTAATTTAAAAAATCCTTTTGTACTGTAGGAATTGTGTAGGTCTTGTTTTAGGTTCATTTTTGCTGTTTTCAGTTTCTTTCTATCTCTTACAGTATTCAATATAATATGTAAATACAGTCGAACCTCGTTGTGTCGAAATCGGTTGTGTCGAAAACTCGGATGAGTCGAAGTAATTTCTCGGTCCCGGTAAAATTGCCGTTTGATCAATGCATAATTACATCTGATGGGTCGAACTCGGTTGATTCGAATACTCGGTTAAGTCGAGTAAATTTTATAGTCCCGTCGAAGTAAAATTAATGTAAATTGATCCCGATGTCTCGAACTTCGAAAGTAAGAATTTTCGCAACATGCAGACCTTATGATAACAATTCAAATCGGATGTATTTCTTATGTCACCTAATCATTTTCAAAAGAGATTAAAGCTGAGTAAACATACTTGTTTGTATAACAATTAAAATGACATGTTTATGGTGACCGCCTTATTAACACCTTTGTTGATTGTTCAAGCAGAATGTTAGTGTGTTGAACATTTTTCACCTGAGATAAAAACGAAACGAATTTAAATGACCCAAGCCGATATTAAATGAATCGTTAGATTTAAAACTCATTAATTACAATAGATAAAAGGATTAGGACAATTATAATTAATTCATGATAATTTAATGTAAAGCAGACGACCTCATCAGAGACCGTTCAGAACTTATTTTGTGCCGCGAGTGATTTCATAATTTATAGCGACTGACCTTTGTAAATATTTGTGTAGACTATTGATTTTATTTGTGCATAATTTGTATCTGTACTTGTGTTTTTAATTATTACGAAGGACCAAAAATGGAGATTGAATACACAATCATAAAGTGTCATATCGAAAAAAGGCACACTGTTCATTGTATCTAGTTTACACAAATCTCTTACAGTATTTCATGCATTCAAAATTTATGACAACACACTCGACCTCGGATGAGTCGAATACTTTGGTCCGGTCCCTTCGACTGTGACACAACGAGGTTCGACTGTACATTAATTCAGTTTAAAAAATAAATGTGGAATGTGTCCATGGGACACAGATGATGCCCCCGCTTGCATATCATATAAAGATATAAAGGGACATAACTGAAGAACGGTAAAAGTGACGCTACCTAAATTTGTAGTTGATCTACGTTTTGTGGTAATAAGCATTGTGTATAAGTTTCATAACATTTGGTTGAGGCAAACTAAAGTTAGAGGAAACGAAAAATTCAGCAATTTTTATGTTTATAAAGGGGCATAACTCAAGAACCTTTATCGTGACGGCACCCAATTTCAAACTTGATCTGTGTTTTGTAGTACGGCGGGGGCATAAAAACTTCATTGATTTTTAATTCCTCACTGCATCTTAAACAATTCCCTAGTACATCATTAATGTTTAATTGGGAAGGGCTTTAATTTCCGACTTACTTTTCTTTGTGCATTCTTCATCCAGTTTCTTCTTGTCACACTGAGCTTTCAACGCTTGGGCTACTGCACCTGTGAATAATTCAATTTGCTGATCAATATTGTTGATGAATAGGTCATATTATTTAGTACATATATATATTTTTTAGTTCCAACTACTAGTTTAAATGCAGATGCTTTTGGTATCATATAGTTGATTCCTTTTGCTTTAGCTCCCAATTTTGTGTGTTACATGTAACCTGAGCCTACAAATGTCTGAACATTGAATAAAAGACTATGTGGGCTATTTTCAATTACAAAACAAGCCAAGAACACAAAAATCAAATGGTAAAAAATTACTATAATTGGTATTTCATAAATATGAAGCCACCAATATAAGAGTTTAGAATGAAGGGTTCTCACTTTTTTTTGCGGCACATAATTCCCCGTTTTTTCCAGGATTTCTCTACAGCATTCATCTATTTTCAAAGATGAGACATTTTCTGTAAGACATTACATTGGGAACTGTGCAAACAAACCACCCTTCTTACAAACACTCAAAGACTTCAGTCATTATCAGTATCTAAGTACTTGAATCATAGACAAACAAATTCATCAATTTCAAAGACTGACAATCATTCCATACACCAAATAAAGTTGATCTGTTGGTTATAATATCTGAAAAAAGACCTAACAACGAAAACTAAACAGTGAACAATGAACCATACAAATGAGGTCAACGTTAAATGAAACCTATCTAGGGGTATGAACACCTTACAATCTTTCTTATGCAAATAAAGCTGATCTTTTGCTTATAGTATCTGAGATATGGACCTAACTTCGAAAACTGAACTTTGACTCCTTGAAAAAGAGGTCAAGATCAGATGAACATGTACACTTTTCAATTATTTCATACAACAAACATAGTTGACCTATTGTTTATAGTATCTGAGAAACAGACTTGACCACAAAAACTTATCTTTCATCTCTGATTTATGAAATCGGGCCATTATAGGTCAGGTGAACCCTGTCTAACAGATATGAAGACCTTGCAAAAATACCTTATACCAAATACTGTTATCCTATATATTACTCACAATAAGCGAACAATTCACATGATAAAGCAACAGTTTTTTAAGCAGTTGCTGCAAGGACAATGGCCATATATATCAAATATGAACTTCATTACATAAGGAATCTGTATGCAAGGTTTGAAGCATTCAGGTCTCCTACCTTTTGATATATAAAGTTTTATACAAAGAATTTACACCAATGCCACAGCCATTTGATCAACATCGCTATATTTTGACAATCTTCAATGGCAAGACAAAAACCAATCTAATCCCACCATTTTCTAGAGCAAAAGTCAGGAATCTAACCACTGATTGACTATAATATGGGAAAAATATTATTATGAAGGGATCTTCTACACATCACTAAACATTTTAACAGGAATAGACACTTTATCTGTTGTAAAACCTGATTTTTATGCCGTTATTTAGTATGAACAAGGATGTATATTAGATGTTAGTTATACGTCCTTTGTATGTATATGTGCAATTACTTAAATAGTATATATATCTGCAAATCATTACCTTTGAGTAACAAAGACATCATGAAATGTGACATATATACTGCCAAGCCATTATTGAAGAAGCTAGCTAACCACTCTACCTTTTGACATATCCAAATCATCATTGGTACTGTTAACAATAGCATCACATTTCTTTTTAAGAATATTTCCTTGCTCTACACTGAATTTCAAATCATCTCCAATCATAAATTCTGAAATAATAGTAATGGACAACTTTTAATAGCAGTGGATGTTAAAGTTCAGAGGCCATATGAAAAGGTTTTCAAACATGTATTGAGAAGGCTATTTAGTCAACTAATGTTGAATAGCATAGTATACATTGTACCTGTATATCAATTTTGTTGAATTTCAAACACAAAAAGATATTTCTCAAAATTTGTAAATTTTCAGCAGAAAGTGTTTTAGGCTTAGATACTTGATTTCATTAGTTGTTAATGGCTTTGAAATAGCTTCCACTAACTGTGAGTACTCTCAGATCTGTACTTTATATCTTTAGTGTTTTTGTGCTTTATATCGTTCTGATGAGTTAATTCCTTTTTTTAACTGATTTTTATAGTATGTTCATATCTTGTGCTGTTTCACCATTGTCCGAGGTAAGGGGAGGGTAAGGCACCCACAAACATGACAATCATACTACATCTTATTTTCATAATGAAAAAAAGTTTTACCTATTACCAGAATCTGTTTGAAATACAGATCCTGCATGTATGTGTCCATGCTTTGCTTACTAGAAAACTGACATGTCTGCAAAGGCTCAGCTTGCACATTTTTGTGAGGCGCAAAGACTGATGCAAACAAAGTAATTTATGTTCATGGGTTGTCAATTTTTATCAATTTTAACACCTTCTTTTGCTTTTGGTGACACAGGTAAAAATCAAACTTTGGCACCGGGAAACAAATTTTAAAAGCATGTTTTACAATGTACCTATAATTCAATTTTTCCAAGCATAAAAAGATATTTTTCAAAGCGTGTTTTTTTTAACAAAAAGTAATTATTTACCACATTTAAAAAAAAAATTGACACCTGGAATCAATTCAGAATTGTTTATTACAAATTATCTCTAAATCATTTTAAAATTGAAATCCTGGAACTCAAAATTTGTGATTTTTTTTCAAAAATATAAAGTTTTCAACAGTCAAGTTTACTAAAAAAAAATCAATTGTTGTTTATGGGAATCAATTTTGAATAGCATACCATAGCTTATAGATCCATTTTTTATGAATTTTGGAACAAAAAGATTTTATAGAAAAAACTAAGTTTTCTACAATTATTGTCAAAATTTCACAAAAATCAAATAGGTATTACCACTGTGATAAAAATTTTAAAAATCAGTTTAGGTAATATTATCATACAACAGAAACATGCTGACGGAGACACAGACAGACATACTGATTACTATAGGCCAAACAAATAGAGTTGACTGGGCACCTATTCTTATACTAAATGTATCCTATACACATATTTTCACCAAATTATATGACTAATGGTAACTCAGAATCTGAAATCTGAAGTGGGACTTAAACCTTAATTGAAACTAATGAACCATAAAATATAGAGCAGATTGACCTTTTTGAAGGAGTCTGCTCTACTCCTAAGATGCACCAATGTTTATGATTGTCATTTAGAATCTGAACTCAGATATACAAATTACTTTTGTCAAGGAAGGACAAGATATATACACACCAGAAATATCTACTTTTTGTAAAAACCTGCTATAAATGCCAGAGATTCATCCTTTTTACACCAATTTAAATGATTGCAGATCACTTTGTGTCTAAAATATTTACTGAAGTAAAACTTAATCAAAGTCAATGATTTGTTATCTGAATAGTTAAGACAAAGTATCATGGAACTTCTACTACAATTTCAACTTTGTGTGTAATTTCCCATTGTATCTACATGCTACACTGATATAATTCTTTGAAAAACCTATTTTGTATCTCGCTTAACTTGTAATTATTAATCTTTACAATTAACTGTGCAATTATTTCTAAATGTTATCTGCATTTTTGTGTTTTCTGCTTTTTGTGTTTTCTTACCTTTGACGTCTGTTCTGTAAATATTAACAATTCTCTTTGGTCCTGATCTAGCACTTGGAATTCTTTTCACTTCTTCCTTTTCAAAAGCCTTTATTCAATAAATTAGTTACATGTATAAATTTTCAGTTAACTGCAAATATCAATACTTCAGTCAGAATAAAATTAACAGGAAACTACAGTAACTCTTATTTTGTCCAGCTGAAGACAAAATTTTACATTGATTTTCATCTTTGATGCAATCAAAAAAATTTCTTACTTTCCTATATACACCTTTTCAAGTGAGGTCACATGAAAGCATGGTTCATAAAAATTTTCTATTTTGCCAGGATCTAACCAGACAACAACAAATATACAGATTAAAAAAAAAAATAAAAGATTTATTTTCAAAATAGAAAATGGCCCACCTTTAAGTGGTCATCACAATATAATATAAATGAAATGTGCTTTTGCATGCTTATCAAATTGCCTAAAATAAAGTTTTTTTCTATCCATTATTCTTTTCTAGATAATATCCAAAAAGTCTTAATCATAAAAATAATCATTAAAAGTCCTATTCCTATAATGTATCATCTTAATAATTAATACCCCAACACAAAAAAATGGTAAATAAATGGGGGATGTGTCCATGGGACACAGATGATGCCCCCACTTGCATATCATATAAAGTTATAAAGGACATAACTGAAGAATGGTAAAAGTGACGCTACCCAAACTTGTACTTGATCTGAGTTTTGTAGTAATAAGTATTGTGTATAAGTTTCATAACATTTGGTTGAGGTAAACTTAAGTTGGAGAACAGAAACGAAAAATTCAGCAATTTTTCCATTTGTAAACGGGCATAACTCTGGAACGGTTAAAGTGACACCACCAAAATTCAAACTTGATCAGTATTTTGTGGTAAAAAGCATTGTTTATAAGTTTCATAACATTTGGTCGAGGCAAACTAAATTTAGAGATCGGAAACAAAACATTCAGCATTTTTTTCATTTGTAAAGGGGTATAACTCTATAACGGTTGAAGTGACTCCACCAATATTCAAACTTGATCTGTGTTTTGTAGTAATAAGCATTGTTTATAAGTTTCATAACATTTGGTTGAGGCAAACTAAATTTAGAGAACGGAAACAAAAAATTCAGCAATTTTTCCATTTGTAAAGGGGCATAACTCTAGAACGGTTGAAGTGACGCCACCAATATTCAAACTTGATCTGTGTTTTGTGGTAATAAGCATTGTGTATAAGTTTTGTGGTAATAAGCATTGTGTATAAGTTTCATAACATTTGGTTGAGGCAAACTAAAGTTAGAGAACGGAAACCAACTTTGGGATGTACGAACAAGGTTAAAACTTAATGCCCCCTATGCTACGGCGGGCATAAAAATTTAATTATTGTGCAATAACTACATTGTACAGAACACAAATCTTATACATGTTATAATGGTGTTTATTTTTTTATCTTTTTTAAATCTCTGTGAAAAATCTAAATAAAAGTCCATCTTCTTTCTAGAATTTCTAATAAATATTAATAAATACTGAATTTTGATCATTCTCTGTTTGTATAAGAGTAAACAGTCATATGGCACTTTGTGTCTGTATTGCAATCTATATATTTATTTTGGCTGCTTACAGCATTTTCCAAGACCATATATAGGCAAATCATTAAAATTGATCAATAATTGTTGTTTTAGGACAGTATAAATTCTATCATCAAAATGTTACACCAGTCACTGTCATATATCGGAACTTATTGATAGAAAAGTAAAGTCTGCATTTTCCAAGAATTTTATGCCCCCCAGTGGTAGATTTTGTTTGCTTAAATATACAAAGCACACCTAACTCTATTTCTCTAATTTTCATGCTATTTTCACATTTCTAGGCAAGCCTCGTGCTTTAAATATAAAAATTTAACTGTCTCGAGTGGAGAAATATTGTAACATACTTGATGCAGTGGTGGAATCTATATGTTGCTGTCATGATATATTTACCGGTAATTGAAATTTTCCAACATGAGTGGTTCTTTTCCAAAGATAATTCACTTGGTTTAAAGAGAGATTAAGAATTATTAAAATAAATCTTGACATAATGTTACCTTCACTGTATTAGTGTCTGAAGGATAAACAATCAGCTTCATATCCTTGATTGTACTTCTTTTGTTGTTGTCAGAGAATTTGTCAACAATATTGTACATCATGGCAGCAACTCTCCAAGGTGGATATCCAATTTTACTAGTACCCATAGCTGGGATTGCAATAGAATGTAATTTGGACTTGCTCATTGTCTCTAAGCATTTGTAAACAAACTTCCAAATTTGCTGTAACAAATATGTAAAACATTTATACCTTCATAACAATTTCACATATTCTGAAAAGTCAATTATAACTAATCAAGTTAGCTGAATTTCTAATGTCAAAGTCGTACATATGCATTTCAACTTATGTGTAAATTATGCAAAAATTAAATACAGATACAATAAAGCATTGAGACCCCTTATAGTACTATAATTACCATCTCCTCGGAGACGGTATTAAGAGTTGAATGATGGACAGTCTGCGGGCTGAAGGCTTTCTTACTACCTGATTGGAAGATATAACTGAAGCTGTAATAATTAAAGTTTGTTGATTGGTTGGGACAATTCAAACCTAGTAAATGTCTTTTAATTCGTAGAGTGTCGGATCTAAACTCTTTATTTTAGTAAATAGATTTGCCTGGTTACCAATCATGCATATTGGTACACAGGTAACACTTATCTATAAATAGCCGAATCTCCTGAAGATTTGTAAACACACACATGATTATTTCAATTCAGTCACTCACTGTTACATACATTTTATACGTGAAAACATAAGAAAACTTTTAGGAAAATGCTTTTTTCTTAGGTTATATTTATTTATATTCAGTAAGATAATCTAAAGGCAACAAACATTTTAAAACGGAGATATCAAATAATTTCTTTTCGATTAATATTAATTTACATGAGAACTTTTATCTCAGGGGACGGAGGCAGCGGCACTTCGACCTTTCTATGGCAGGGGTGAGCAGCTGAGATATCCAATACCCCACCCTTTATATATATATATATATATATATATTGAATGATAAAAGAACATAAATGTAGTTACCCTAGCTATCATATATTTTTTACAATAAGTATATATACCTGCACATAGCTATCATTGTTACGCTATTTCATAGGGAGATACAAGTAAATAGATTTGACAAATATCTTAAACATTTACGAAAGTGATTTTAGAGACATATATACACAATATCTGGTGATTTTAATTGCATCTGTAAAAAAAATGTCGACATCTGATTAGTTTCAGATTAATCATCAACCTTGTCTTATATTTCACCTAAATTTCTCGACCTCATGCAATATCATGAAGCTTCAAATAGTGATCTATCCCAGTGACTCATCCCTTCCTCTCATTACATAATAAGTGCCCCCACACACACCCCAAGATCGTTGGGCTGAGTTGGATGTTGTCTAGATCTACCTAGCTAGCTCTTCCTAGCAAGATAGCAGACATTGAAGATCGGAAGACTAAAAATATATCTAAAAGGGAATATAAGAAGAACAAAAAACTCAGACGATAAAAGCAATTACACATGTATGCTAACATATTTTAAGCAATGTTTAATTTCTATGAATGATTTTAAAGGAGATGTGAAGTATACATAATTAATTTAGACAGCAACCCAATTAAGCAATAAACAAAACGTGACAATTTACTTCTAAAGTTCAATCTACGGTCTTCTTCAATGGACATGTCATTACAACATTTTAAAGTTTTTTATCCTCCCAAGTCTAACTATAATAATATAGAATACATGTGAATATGTGAGCCAAAATTTGTTCCTGTGAAAAAAGTTCCAGTTGAACAAATATCACAGGAAATATATTCTAGGAGAACTTTTTTCACAGATAATTTCTATATGATTTGTTCCATCTCTATAAAATAAGTTCCACAATTTACCTGGTGAAATAAGTCTGGGTTTGTGAAATTTGTTCCTTACCTAGTGAAATAAGTTCCGGGTTTGTGAGATTTGTTCCTTAGCTGGTGAAATAAGTTCCTTGTCCGTGAAATATGTTCCACTGGTTATACAAGTTATCTTCAATACTGAGCATTGTTATCAGTGAGTTTAAAGTTATAATTCAAGTACATTATAAAAACATGTATTATATTGATAATGTAATAAATAAAAGGTGTAAACATCCAATATGGATTTTGTGGAGTATAGCAAAATGTTTAATTACATTATCCATAAAAAAAATACCCAAATGACAATAATTTAATGAGGCAGAAAAGCGAAGAATAAGAAAAATCCTTCAGAAAATTTTTAAAGATCAATCATTTATTTATGAATATTGCAATTCAACATATGTTACTTCACATCAGAATTTGTAGAAAAATGAAATAGTGTGTTTTAAATATTTATCACAGTTGTTAATCATAGTTGTGCATTTGTTTTTTAATCATATTATCCATGTACAATATATATGCTGACTTAATTTGAATTTCTAAAAAATTTACCTTATTTTGAATGTTTTTCATGTTGTTTAAAGACTTCAATGTTGAGTATTAAATTTGTCAGGTACAACTATAGAATGTTTTGCTTGATATAAAGTTAATGCATCATGTTAATCTATAACATCCGTAACTTATTTAACATTTAGTAAAATAAACTGTTAACACAGAGATATGTCTCGCCTATTTGTTATTTTGATAATGCAAATGTTGAAATTAAAATAGCAATACTTAAACATTTTAGTTATGCAAATATTCAAAGTCAATGAACCATGACTGAATTAAGGTACAGGGCTAAACAATCTCCATGGAAATAAGATGTGCCAATGCTATTACAACTGCAAACCAAATACCATTGACTTTTCATAAATCGTTCCCTTTAAACAAACCTTAACACAAACATTAACTTGTAAACTATGTAAAAGTTTCAAAGTCAATGAACCATAATTAGGGGGTGGCGTTTTAAAATCTCCATGGAAATGAAACTTGCAAATGCCAATACATTTGCATACCGAATATCATTGACTTAGTGGTTCATCTTAAACTGACCTAATTAATGTAAACTAAGCAAAAGTTTCAAAGTCAATAGACTATGACTGAGGGGGCGAGGCCAAATATTCTCCATTGAAATGAGATGTGCTAATGCTTATACAACTGAACACAAATTAACATAGGCCTACCACTAATGGTTCCCCTTGAACTGACCTAATCACAAACTAATACATGTTAACTTAGCAAATTTTTCAAAGTCTATAGACCATGACTAAGGGGGCGGAGCCAAATAATCTCCATGGAAATGAGATATGCCAATGCTTATACAACTGCATACCAAATATCATTGACCTAGCTACCTCTAGTGGTTCCCCATAAATTGACCTAATCACAAACTAATACATGTAAACTATGAAAAGTTTCAAAGTCAATAGACCTTGACTAAGGGGGCGGGGCCAAATAAATCTCCATGGTAATGAGATGTGCCAATGCTAATACAACTGCATACCAAATATTATTGACCTACTACTAGTGGTTCACCATGAACTAGACCTCATCACAAACTAATACATTGTTGACGCCACTGCTGCCGTCGCCTATGCCGACGCCGGAAACAGCATACCTATGTCTCGCTTTTTGACTCCGTCAAGGTGAGACAAAAATTAGTTCCGGAACAAATTTTACAGTGTTGGAACATATTTCCTTATAATATATATTCTGGGTATAAATTTTCTGTGATATAAATTCCGGTGGAACATATTTCCTATGAAATAAGTTCCGGCGGAACAAATGTCACACCGGAACAATTTTTTGGTTACAAAAAATAATTCAGATATTACTTGAAGCTATGAGCAGGGTCAAGAACAAACTTCTAATGTTTGTTTTGAGGTTTATTGACTATTTATACTAGACATGCTATATGAGAGAAAGAGAAATAAAAGAAAATTATAAATTTAAAAGACGAAAATACTGTTGGCATTTTAAAAGATTATTCTTAATTGTATGTTTTCTACAAGAATTGTAAAACAAGTATAAACATACATATACTATGATCATAAAACAAAAAGACATTTATATGTGAACATACGAACGGTCTCCCACAAAAATTATGTCAATCCAGTATGTCAAGCTTTTAAGGGTAAGTTTGATAAGGGCCTTAATCGTCATCCAACATTAAATGGTATAGTAAATAAATATGAAGATATGTACAAGTAAAACAATAACAAAAGATACAGTATCAAGCTGTATGCTTAATAAAGTTTTTGGTCAAATTTGTTGATTCTCTTATGTTGATGGCCTCATAGTGAACTTAAAATAGCTTTGCAGAACTTATCACCTTCTTTATAACCAACGACATCCATTATAATTTGAAAAAGAATGGCGGTGAAACTACTATGTTTTGAATTTCAGGCGCTTACAATAGGTCTTACATAACAAATTACCCGTCTCACGACTCTGAGTATTTTTCATAAAAAAATATAATCAAGAAGTCCAATAAAACCAAATAATCTGAAAAAAGAAACATTTAATTGTAAGGATACTCATTATTCAAATATAGAAAAAGAGGCATGGGGCATTACACATTGCAGCCCAACTACAATGAATAGACAAAATCTTCATTGACAACAAAAATAACCATATATATATGTGAAGCTTTACATTTAAAGGATCAATTTTGAAAAGATGTGAGATACCGTTGGAAATATATTAAGGGCAAAATTTTTTTGCGGTCGTATAAAAAGTCAACGAACAATTCCAATATCTGTTTGAAAAAAAATAATCGATAAAAAGACATTACCCTTCCATTTCCAGTGTTAATACTTTCCCCAAAAGAAATTGGTAAATCTAAAAAATTGTATAAGCCTTTTATAATTTTTGCAATCCACTACAATTTACATACAATTCTGAACGAATTAAACTACAAAGAGAAAACATTTTCTACTTTCATCAGCTATGAGACGGCTAGCTTTTTAGAAAAGCTATTACTTGTTAATACCTAGGTACCAAATATGAGAGGAAGCAGACATTTTACAACAGTCCTAGGATTAATTTCCTCTTGAAGAACCTTTATAAACACAGACAACAATTCGAATTTTTAATGCAGGAATACAAAATGGATCAAAGACTCAAATAACTTGGTTGTGCAAAATTGTTTTTAGAAGGTGTATAATACCACCAAATCATAGTACGTCACATCCGGTTGCATATGAAAATAGGTCGAAAAAAAATATTCCCTTGAATTTGACAGTTGTAGGTAATTGATCCTACATTTCATTGCAGTAAAACATTT